AAAAAAAAAAATACTTTATTATATTGTAGTATGCTAGAATGATTAAGGGAGTAACAAAAAAAAAAGAAATCTTTTTACCAAGTTTTCAATTAAAGTTGTCTTAATAATTATAGTAACAACTATTTAATATTTAATATTCATAAAAAAAGTTATTATTTTTTAAGTATTGAGACACAGTGAGTACACATAGAATAGATAAAACAATAATAGTTTAACTTTCCTCTTGATTAGAATAAACTAAAGTTTGATTTTTATATTTTTTTTTAAATGTTTCTTAGTTTTTTTTTTAATTTAAATTAGTTTCATGTTAGGTCTATCTTTCGTTTAGTATTATGATAAATAATTTTTTTACTTGAAATTATATTTTTTATAAATTCTTTTATAGTTTATTCATTAAATATTTATAAGAATATTTTTTTCAAATTGTAGAATTTTAATACTTAATTTTTTTAAAAATATGGATTATATTTAACATATATATATATATTTATAACAAGCATCCAAATAACTCAAATAGAAAATATTTAGACAGTTACATATTCTCTTAATTTAAATCAAAGTGGATACATACATTATCTTTTAACTATAATAAGTAATTTGAACTGCGACGAATTCTTTTATAACTGATAAAAAAAGTGATTTCAATACTTCTATAATAAAAAAAAATTATATCTTATCATTATGCATGTAAAGATTTTTTTTTATTTAATATGTAACTAACCACATCTAGTACATAACTTGATGATTGTATGAAGTGTGAAATTAAGATTTATCAAGCTAGGAAAAACCAAAAATGCTTGCATCCATAACCTCACCATTAAGCTCATTAAGCTAAAAGTTCATGTTTTATCATTAACAATTTTTTTGTACGTCTTAATTAATTATATTATATAATATTATGAATATCCAGATTATTTTTATCGTAGACTATCTTCTAAACTAGTTTTTTCTTAATTTAGATGGTATATATATATATATTTAAATTATTAATAATATAACATAATCTTTAAAAAGATTATTTATGCTCTTTTTAAATATATTTATAAGAACTAAACATCAATAATACAATAGTTATAGCTACAACTAATAAATACTTTATATGATTTTTAAGACTCAATCTAAAATATTAAATTTAATGAAACTAAAAAATTCAATTTCTATAAAGTTAAAGTTCTAAAGTTTAGAATATCTTATATTTTATATTAAAATCATACATATAATTTTGATATTTAACAATCACAAATATAATTATAAAATAAAACTTTGACGATTATTTTCTACTTTTATAAATAAATTTAAAATTGTTTTTTTTTTAATAAAAAAATTAGGGTTTAAACCCTAAATAAAAGGCAAGTAAAGTAAATAAAATAAGTACTTTATAAAGAATAAATAAATAAAATTAAGTGATAAATAAACTAAGAGAAATCGAAAGAGAAACCCTCTCCGCTCGCTGTTTACCAATTCCACCCCTTGGAAAGTGAAAAGCTCCGGAGGATGAAACAGAAAGCCTATCGAGATAGATCTGAAGGCTCTCGATTCTCGGTGTCTCTCTTATCCAAATCCAGAGGCCGAGAAAAAAACCCTAAATGTATCCAAAGGATGATGTGCACTTCATCATCGGCACCAGCAACAACTAAGCCCCAGATGGACGTTCGAGATTTCTCGACGCTTCCGTTTGATATTCTGATGAAAATAGCGGCTCCGTTCACGCTTCCGAATCTGCAAGCTGCGTCACTGGTCTGCACAGCGTGGAGAGACGCGCTTCGGCCGTTGAGGGAGGCGATGGTGTTGTTGATGTGGGGGAAGCGGTTCAAGCATGGTCGAGGCGGTGTTCAAGCCAATTTAGACAAGGCTCTGGATTCCTTCTTAAAAGGAGCGAAGCTCGGCTCGACGCTTGCGATGGTCGATGCTGGTCTCGTATACTGGGAAAGGGGAAATAAACACGAAGCTATTGCCCTATATGAGAAAGCCGCTGAGCTCGGCGATCCCACTGGTCAATGCAATTTGGGCATCTCGTATCTGCAGGGTACTTTTTTTTAACTTTCTGAATATCAATTGTTTAAGTTGGGTTTCTGTGTATGATTTAACTAAAATTCATTTGATTCCTTATTGGTTGTTTTAAATTCGTCAGTATTACTGTGACTGCAGCTCAACCTCCGAATTTAAAGCTAGGTGTAAAGTGGTTATATCGTGCTTCCCTTGCTGGCCATGTCCGCGCCCAATATCAACTTGGCCTTTGCTTTCATCAAGGTCGTGGTGCGGATAGCAGTATGCAACAGGCTGTATGGAATTCCTTCTCTCTCTCGTTATGGGTTTTTATGAATGAAGTCACTTTTGTGGGAACTCAATGTAAAGCTTAATTGTCTTGAGACACTCTTATTAGCAGTAACTGTCGAATGTAGACTATGACGACCTATGTCTTCTGTACATGACAAATTTTCTGCTTCACACTTTCAAGTATATGACTTCGACAACAAAATTTGAAACTCATTCCGATATCCATATGCTTATGTTTAGTGTTATTCAAAATCATGAAATTGGTTTTGAATGAAATTCATATAGAAGTAAACAAGTGCATTTTAAATCCTTTCAAAGTATTTGATTAAATTTGAAAATTTTACTTGTAAATGGATTTATTATAAATTCATTTACAAGTGAAATGAAACTTCATGGGTATTTATTCCAAAAGTAGACTAATATTCTTTTCCATGTAATTCCCTCCTATATCTTGAATTTTTTTCCTTTTCTATCTTTTTTTAAGAGAGAAGGAAGTATCATTGACAGGTAACCTTTGTATACGAAACATCTAGAAAAAAATTATAAAACAGAAGGCTCCTATGAGGTTCCCCAATTACTCTCCGTCAAGGAAGATCCCAGTTTTATTAGAATTTACATGGTGTATTTGAGCAAGAAATATGCTAATGTTAATAATCAACTGTTAGTGCATCAATATATAAAATTAATCCCCTTTCCTCTTTTGGTGAGCGTAAACAAAGTTTTTGTTCTAAATCCTACTTTGTTTTCACTTGAAACAGGCCCTATGGTATCTAAAAGCTGCTGAAGCTGGATATGTACGTGCTATGTACAACGTTTCACTTTGCTACTCATCTGGGGAAGGTTTCTGCTACAACATCGGTCTAGGAAGAAAATGGATGAAGCGAGCAGCTGATCATGGTCATAGTAGAGCTCAATTTCATCATGGCCTTACTTTATTTTCCGTACGTAACATCTTTGTTTTCTATTTTTTACATTAAAGCATGCGTATTACATGATGAAGTAGATGAAGGGCAGAATTTTATCTTTTCATATTTAACTGGTTGCTGAGATTCTAGTATGTATGTTGCATTCTGAAGAGTGAAAATATTAGAATTCTCAAAGTGATTTGTTTCTGCACCCGAATTGTATTCATAGAATGTGGAACACTGAATTAACAATTGAATAGGAATAAAAAAGAAGCAAGTTTGATCTCCTTGTAACATGCAGGGATAGAAATAACATGTTGAATGCTGGTAGCCAGGGTTTAGCTTTTGGTGGTTAAAGAAATATCTCTCATGTAATATCTTAGCCTTGTGTAAGTTGAATATTTATGTGATTGATATCAATTTTTGAGCAGAAAGGAGAGATCGCCAATGCTGCTCTATACTTGGAACTTGCCACACGAGCTGGTGAAACTTCTGCAGCTCATTTCAAGAATGTACTTCTCCAACAAATATCAGCCTCTTCCCATGATCATATCATGCGTGTTGCAGATAATTGGCGTGCTGCTTCCTTTTCTCGCTAGGCAACTCCAGAAGATGGTTTGTAAGTTATCATCTATATTCTTCTTATCTATAGTTCTTAATTTTATCAGTCAGATTCCTTTCCTTACACGTATCTTCCTTTTGAGGGGTGGCAGTTGTAATTAAATATGGTTTTCAGTTCTTTTCCGAACATTTGTTAATACTGCACTCCTTTGTTATTTAGCAATCAGTATTTAATAGGCTATTTTTCGAACAAATTCACAAATTTTGTAGAATTTACAAATTCACTTTTAGTTAACAGTGAGAGGATATAAGTTTTACTAGAAGATAACAAAATCATTAACTTCGAATCATATGAAATTTTTTACGGGATCAATCTTTATTATTTTATAAATGATCTATCTTTTATATTCATATTTGTTACTGAACTTTGTAGAATTGATTTCAAACATTAATGTATTTAATTGTATCATCTAAATCAACCGTTATAGAGTAATTGCAAGCTAAGTGGATATTTTTGTCAGAATGCCCTAGATAGACTGTAGGCTTTTTTTTTTTTCCTTTTTCTGGCCCCCTATTGGCCTGTAACCCTCGCATGGATGGTTTGTACAACTTATCTGAAAGTAATTTGTAGTGACAATAATTACTTCACGACCAAGGCTGAAGATTCCTTGGCTGTCTTAGAGAATTTCCTTAAGAATTTATTTGAAGATATTAGAGGTGCAGCTTGTAAGTTTAAAATGTGGGAACCTCTTTGCATCTGTTGAAAAATTATGTAGAGTAGTTCTTTATTATGTGAGGTTATATTGAATGTTCAACAAAAATAAGCTTAGTTCAAGGTAGCGTTAAAGGTTATTAATTATGAAGTATTGAGGTCCATAGTGTTGATACAGTTGAGCTGTAATTAAATTATGCAATTAATAATAAGTACCTATGATTCCTTCTACGTGCCTTCTCTTAATCCTGATTAATTTATTCATCGAAGTTTTAAATAATTTATTTACCATTTTGAAACTATGTACACTGTGAACTATTATATAGATTTTCATAAACATAAATTAAAACACTCAGTCAGCTTAAATATTTAAACAAAACGAATGTTTTTTATACCATAAACAAAAACAAAAAATGTCGAAGTGCATGATTATCTGAACCTGCAGGTTGAAACAGGTGGTGGAGCTCCATTTCGGATACGCGAACGAAGCATGTGTGTATGTGTATGCATATATGCATTAGGGTTAGAAAGGAAAATGTTATAATGTATAGCAAGTAACAAGTGCCTCATTTGTTCGAGGCTTCCTCTTCATTTGTAAGAAGAATTTAGAATTGAATACCGAAACCCTATTAGGGTTTTATCTAAAATTGCCGACTCTCTCTTGGTTCTCTGTGTTTGTTCTTCATTTTCTCTTCACTTCAGCTTTAGAGATCAGCGTTTTTAACTGTTTTACAACATATCCTTGCACCTAAAAGAAAAAAAAAAAAAAAAACAAGATCAGTAAGGTTAGCTTTTAAACATCAGCTCATTCCTAGATGAGAATCAAACAAAATTAAACTTTACAATTATATGTTCCCAATGAAGTTCTGTATTGAATGAATCCCATCTTACCTTAATGTGTATCAGGATTAGAACACATTGCTATTTCATGTCTTCCAATCCTTTTTGTAAGACTAAAATCGTGCTTACCCTCCACCTCTATAACAAGTCTTTGGTACGATTGTTGGATCAAGCCCTGATACGAAGCATATATACACATATAAATAGGTAATAAAACCACTAAATCCATGGTAAATCTAAATGCATATTTAGCTTACTAGTAGGTGGCGGGGAAGAAACTTACCTTTGAGGGAAAAGATTATGAAGAATCCACCGGTCTTTGTTGTGGTAATCGCCATATTATGGTAGTGTTAATGTTTTTCACTTTTTAGCTCTTCATTAATCTATTGAAGACAGTTCGTTATGATATACTGCCAAACTATTTAGCTCCAGGCACTAAAATTTGTCTGTAAGCATTTTGTATCATTGGTATGGTAGATAATCTATTAGAAATTTTTAAAAAAAAACAATAATATGAGTAACACCC